GAAACTCAGCCTTTAAAGACTTTCAGTCTTAGATATGCTGGCCTGGGTGCAATCCGAGACTACATGCTTTGTGCAGAAGTGCACAGGTATTTCCAGTTGGAAATGTTGACATAAATTTAGTCCTTATGAAATGCCTGCGGCCATGATTTTGCAACTACAGTAATTGCAAAACCACTTACTGCACTTTTCATCCTATATTAACCTCAACTATTGACACTTTGGGGGCAGGGAATCACTTTTTAAAAACTTTATAAGCAAGCAGATTTGCAACAGCAAAATCCACTATATGTGTTGGAGGATATGATTTTCAGGAGAACGTTCTTAATATTTTCTCCTTGGGACACAGGGAATTGCATTGAAACGGCTCTCTCTATATTCCTCCTTCCCTCAGGGAAGAAGATTTATACTGTCTTTTGGCAATAAAACTGTTGGTCATTTTGGATTTTTTCAGAAATACACCTTTTGCTCCAACATTTTTTGGTAGCCTTTCATCAGAGATTTTAGAGGCATGAAATCTTCTCTCTCTTCTTGTCACATTTGCTAATATCCTAAGCCCGTGAAGGCGAACCTCTGGCACGTGTGACAGAGGTGGCATGCAGTGCCCTCTCTGTGAGCAAGTGCACTGTTGCCAGCTGCTCTTCTGGGTTCCAGCTAGTCCAGCATGCATGTACACCGGCCAGCTGCTGTCTTCTGGGTTGTGGTGCGTGCATACACGGCAGACAAATGGTCTTTGAAGACATGTGCGCACTGGAATCCGGAAGAGAGCAGGTGGCCAGTGCGCATGTGCGACAGACCAGCTGTTCAGCATGCATGCACGTGACAGAACCCAGAAGAGCAGCTGGCTGCCACACACATGTGTACTGGTCAGCTTCTCTCTTCCGGGTTCCAGTGCATGCGCACTTTAGTTTCAGCACTTAGTGACAAAAAGGTTAAGTGTCCTAAGCCTTTAACCACGGAACCAATTGGACTGTTACATCCTCTGATTTCCCCGAACTTACGGTAGTACAACAACATCTAAAAAAAAAACCTATGAAACGACCTAGATCTTGTCAAGGCTACTTTCAAACGTATGGCTGTGATTGTCACCTTCAAAAAAGGCCTACTTTTTTTCTCTCTCTCTCCATTAATCCTTCTAGAAAATTTATTGTTCCCTTTTCTCATAGAAGTTGAATAGAATCATGAGGGAAATAGATCACTTTCCATTCAGAAAGCTGCCAAATTGCTGCACATTACTTCGGGGGGGAAAAACAATCATTTATGTTATATAAAATATATCTGCATTCTATGAAGCTGACCCAAGAATCTGTTAAAGGTTAAGATGCTCAGGGTTGCCTGAACCATAAGATAGGTATAAAATAAAATTGATAAATAAAAAAAATAAAGAAGTTACGTTCTGGTGCCAGTCTGAGTTTGACAAGGAAACCAGGATGACTAGATAACAATGGTTTGCAAGCCTTCAATTCTAATTGAATTCTACCCTGCTTTCCCTGAAAATAAGACTTCCCCAGATAATAAGCCCAACCTGGCTTTTGAGCGCATGCACTGAAATAAGCCCTCCCCCCAAAATAAGCCCTACCCAAAAATATTGCAACACAGCAGCAGTCATGAGGTGACCATGCTCGCTGCCTCCTGCACCTCAAAAATAGTAAGACCTCCCTGAAAATAAGGCCTACTGCTTATTTCGGTGGTTAAAAGAAAAGAAGACCGTCTTATTTTTGGGGAAACACAGTAATTCCTACACTGAATTCTTACAATTTCATGGCTGGCTGATATTTGCTTAAAAGGATCCTTGATGTTAGCTCTCAACTGTTACCAAATTAGCACTTTGCCCAAATCAGGATTAGCCGCAATCAAAGGTTATCTGCTTTGCAGCTTCCTTAGTCTTATGCAGCAATTAGGGTTATCACAAATCCTATCCAAACCGGATTTCTTGAGAAAGTCTTCCTATCTCAGGGAGTTCTAGAACTTACCTTGATTAAGGAAAGCAGTAAATTTGGCTCTTCCTCGTTTGTCCACAAAAACATTTCTCTCCATCATTGAATTTCATATAGCAATTGATTGAGTTCATTCATTTTGGCTTCCTTGCAGGGGTGGGCTGCTGGGGGTTCGCACACAGTCCGTTTTGGATACAGGTAAGTGAGGGGCGCACACAGAGGCTCGGAAAGGGGGAAAAACAGGCCTACCAGAAGTTCGGGAAGGCCAGAAGTGAGCCCGTTTCTGGCCTCCAGAGAGCCTTAGGAGCCTGAAGAGGCCATTTTCGCCCTCACGGATGCTTGAAAAAAGCCTCTGGAGCCCAGGGAGGGCAAAAATGCCCCCCCCCCAGCCTGGTGCAGGAGGCCGACTATGCCACGCCAGAATGGGTTTCTGCCGGTTTGCCCTGGATCGGACGAACTGGTAGTGGTGGCAACGGGAGGCTCCGCCCACTCACTCGGACATTTCTGCACATGCGCACAAGCAAACCAGTAGCAAAATAAATTGAAACCCACCACTTGGTCATGCCCACCATGGCCATGCCCACGCATCAACCGTGTGAGAACCTGTTGCTGAAATTTTTGAAGCCCACCCCTGCAGTGCCTTGTGCTTTGTTTCCCACCAAATTTATTGTGGTTACTAAATGATGATTGAGAATTATCTCTGCAGTTTTCTGTACTCACACTATAATTGCAATAAGGATTTCACATCATTCAATTACAGTGGGGGTGGACATGACTTTTTGGACAAGAGATTTTAATCTAATTGCAGACAAAAAAGGAACAAGGGCTGTAAATTTACTGAGATTCTTATATGTATTTGTCTGATAACAAAGCAAACTTTTAATATTGAAAGGGTTTTAGGAATAACAGTGGTAATTGCTCTGGTAGCAGCTGCAGAATAAGCTTGTGCTCCCACAGTGGGTGGCAGCTTATGGAATTAGCTGATTTTATCTGCTCTTTTGGGTTAATTGATCCATCATCTGAGCTAGTTAGTTCACTTTGATAGCTTTCTGAGTCTAATATTGATACTTGCAACTTAATCAACGGTTAATAATAGTTCCCAGGAAGTTGGTAGCCATTATTCACATTGTAAAGTAATATTTGAATAGTAATGGAAGATAAGGACTATCAAAATGACACAGTCATTAAGGCTTTGAAACAATTTCCCAGACTCAGCATGATTTGCCTAGGCTCTAGGTTGATATATATTCTGTTTAAGGCTCTCCAACATTTGGCATCATTAGATAAGAATCTTTATTACATAGTAAAAAGAAGTCACTAAAATAATTGCTTTCTATCAACATGAAAGTTTAATTCCGGTTTGGTTTTTTCTGCCCTTGCCTTGCAGTTTATCAGACTATTTACCCTATGCTTCTTAGCCTCAAAGCTGGATTACTATGGATTGCTGTCATAATTAAAATCTCCTCTCTGAAGAATTCTGGATGTTTACATCTGTAACGGGGCATCTCCAGAGAGCACCTGGTGAAACATATATTTTACTCTTTACATGTGCAGGAGCCACTAAAATATGAGTGTTCCAAAAACGTCACTTAATGTGGGAGGAAAACACAGCTGAGCCTTATCAAGAGCAATACCTAGAGCTACAATCCCTTAACAGTTGATATGTCGTTACAGTTTGCTCTCAACGTATGACCACAATTGAGGCCAAAATTTCTATTACTAAGACATTTGTTAAGAGACTTTTGCCCCATTTCACAATCTTTCTTGCCACAATTAAGTGAATCACTGCAGTTAGTAACAGGGTTGTTAAATGAATCTGGCTTCCCCATTACTTTTCCTTGGCAGAAGGTCACAAAAGAGAATCACATGACCTCAGGACAATGCAACCATCATAAATATTAATCAGGTGCCAAGCATCTGAATTTTGATCATGTGACCATGGGGATGCTGCAATGGTTGTAAGTGTGAAAAATGGTCATAAGTCACTTTTTTCAGTTCTGGTTCAAACAATTGTTGTTTGTTACAACAAACAATCATTTGTTGTAAGTCAAGGACTGTCTGTACAGGTAAAAGCATCATGCTGCCAAAAAATATGAAAATGTCAATGTGTGTTGCCCTAAAGACAGGAAGACAACAATTTTGATGAGCAATAGATGCCAGCAACTATCCCACAAGTCAAAAAACTCCCAAATCTCAATTCTTCCTTTAGCCATGGCTTGTACCAGAAACTTTGCCATGATTGGTTTCTGTTTCAGAAAGGGATTCTGCATTCTCCATCAGAACAAGTTGGGGTTATATCTCCCAGCTTGTCCCCCAGGATGAAGAGAGCTGAGGCAGAATCCTGCCTGTGAAGCCAAGTGCCTCTTGAGCAACTATTATTAAGCAGTCAGGTAAGTTAAATAACCTAGAGGACTGCTCTGAGTGTACATAAATATATATGCATGCACATACAGAGAATTCCTTCTTTTTGCAATCTGTGTTACTGTTATTTATAGATATATATTTAAATTTATATTGAAAGAAAAACAGAAAGTCGAGTTTGCCTACTTTAAAACAAAAACACCTTTGGGACAACCATGACCTGGATGACTGAGAATCTCCATAGACATTTACCGTATTTATAGCTCACCCAAAATTTACAGTATATAATATAAGAAGGTACAACTAGAACAGAGATCTTCAAACTTGGCAACTTTAAGACTTGTGGATTTCAACTCCAATTCTGGGAGTTGAAGTTCACAAGTCTTAAAAGTTGCCAAGTTTGGGACCCCTGAACTAGAGCGACGGAGAAGCAGCATGAGAAGTACGAAAAATGACAAGTTCTGGCGCTGGAAATTTCCTCGGAAAAAGACTGGCTGAAAAAGCGAGTTGGGCGGGGCTATCCCGATCCCAATTCTTAAGGGAAGGCCATCAACAATAGGGAGATCGATGCCCAAATTGCGCATGCGTGTGGGGGGGAAAAAAGCGCGGGCGTCGCTCCGGTTCCTTCAGCGCAGAACGAACGGAAGGGCAATTTCTTTCCCTCCCCGCCCCTCTCCACACCACCCGAGTACATCATTTCCGGCGTGTGGGCGCGCGGCTTGATTCGTTCAGTTTGGCTGGGTCTGTTGACTTCGCGGGCGCCGAGGCCGCCGCCGTTTGGGAAATGGCGGGTAAGGAGGGTCCCTCCGGGCGCATAAACGGGGCGGGTTGGACACCCGGGTCTCCGCGGTGTCCGCTCGGTGCCCTCTCCGCGAGGGAGGTTTCCAAGCCAGAGTCTGGCAGGTGATGAGCGGGGAAGCCCACTCCGCTTCGACTCTTAACCTGCGGTCTCGGAAAGCTCTGCTGGGCTGGGAAGGAGAACCGTCCCCGCTGGCGGAAACGGGAAAGGCTGTCTCGTCCTCCAGTTCGTGGCTGTTTCTCAACTCGCTTTGAAGATCGTCCGCTGACGGCCAATTCACCAATGGCTTGTAGGAGAAAGGGGTGTGCTCGGTCCTTCAGGGTTATTATATGAGGTTGATTAGCACAGGTAGTCCTCGACTTACAACTTGTTCATTTAGTGACCGAAGTTACAACAGCACTGAAAAAAGTGACTTAGGAGGTTTTTCACAGTTAACTACCTTTGCAGCGGCCCTGTGGTTACGTAATCAAAATTTGGAGGCTTGGCAACTGCTTCATATTTATGATGGTCGCTGTGGTCATGCGATCACCTTTTGACAAGCAAAGTCAAATGGGGAAGCCCAATTCACTTAACAGCCATATGCCTAGGTTTAACAACGGCAGTAGTTCAGTGAACAAAGGTCACAGAAAAGTTGTAAAATGGGGCAAAACTCACTTCACACATTTCTCATTTAACAACAGAAATGTTGGCCTCAATTGTGGTCGTAAGTCAAGGACTACCTGTAATTAGGTTGCACGGTTAATGTAAAGCAGGGGTCCTCAAACTCTTCAGCTCATCGACTCCCTTCATGAAATTTCAGATTGTTCGTCCACCTCCATGCATTCATGATGTGAAAATAATTTAGCAAATATTACTTTAATAGTCCTATGAATAATTATAACATCAATTCCTTAGATTGTTCCCTTGGAGATTGATGTTGACCACTTTGGATAAACCTGCTGTAAACTATTTCATATTATAGCCCTTACCTTTTAAGCTGTTGCAGAATAGTATACAGCCAAAATCGGCAACCATGGTGTGACTATCAAATCATTATCCTAAACAAAAGATTATCCAAGTAAATAAGCACTTAAATGTGGGTATCATGTTTGAAAATATCAGAGCATATTACTCTTAACACAGCTTTTCCCATACTGGTGCTCTCACAATAGCAGTTGGCAGTTTAATACATCTGAATGTCATTAAGTTGAAGAACAAAACAAGTATTTGACAAATATCTGAGTGCCTCAGTATAACTTGGGAAACTCAAAAGCCCTCTAATTTTCCTGCTTATGTTCTTGGAAACTTATATTATAAATTCTGTTCTAGCATTAAGCATAGGTTTTGTCTCTTTTTTGAAACAAAAGCTTATAGAATCTGCAATAATTATAAGATACGTGCTTTTACATATCTATAGATTTTAGAGATTTAAGAGCAGAAAAGTAGCCCTTCTAGGGTGGTGATCTCTAAGTGTTGCAAAGTCCCTGCAGCCAGGAATTGATGAGTGATGGGAACATTGGGATAAAACACTGAATTTGCACCTCTACCTTGTTTCTGTCTTCATTCTCACAGAAAGGATGAAAGTGTTGGGGAAAAAACAGTGATTGAAGCTAAAAATGTAATTTGCTGACATGGATCTTTCCAGATATTTTGAGCTGCTGTACCTGGTAGTCAGAATGGGAGTTGTAGGCCAAGGCCTCTGAGAAATCCACAGTGCAGAAAGCTGATATGAAACATAAATAATTAACTTCTTTCATGGGTGAAGTTATGGCAAATGTCACAAACCTAAGTAAGGCTACCCTCCAAAATTCTATTTGTTCCAATGCAAAGTCAAATGAGTAGTGGTTTGTGTATCTTTGCTATAAGTTTTCAAGGAGATGTTAGGTAGCCATATTTTTGGACTAGTTTAGTAAATTTCTGTTCTGAGGAAAGATGTGGACTAGAGAGCCTTCGAGGTTTTGTCTTAATGCCTGCATTCTATGATTTAATCACTTTTAGAAGTTTTAGGGTGCCATCCACTGTTGTAATACTTTGAACTAATATATATAGGTTCTGAAGCAGTTCATGCCCCTTTTATTCATTACTTGTATTGAAGGATCTTTGCATAATTATCAGAGAATAGGATTGCACTGTTCTTCTTTCTCACAGTCTTAGGTCCAATATTGGCCTTACTTCCTTTGAGTTCAGTGTATTAGAGATGTCTTTGCTAAATCTCAGAATAGCATCTGCTCATGTTACATAGGAACAAGATACAACAAACAAGATACAAGATAGCATACAACTAGAGGACATTATCGCAAGGTCTATATGGTCATAGATTGAGAGTCAGTATTATGCTGCTGTTTCTTAATTGCTACAAATGTTATTGTGCTAAAGCAGTGTTTCTTAAACTATTTTGGAGGATCCCAAAAGAGCTTTTGTTGGTATGGGTTATATTTATTGATATTTACCATATAAACTGTTAAACTTGACACATTCCTACAATAGTTATTGAGTATCAAAATAAAGTATTAAACCAATTAACATAAATACTTTTCATAAAAACTATTTTAACAAATTAAAAATAGTAATAGTAACAAATTAAAAATAGTAATGCCACTGTTTTACATTTTTGCAAATGTAAAACAATATCTGACAAATAATTTTGAATTTATAGACTCATGACAAAGTCTTGGGGGTACTGTCAGGGAGCCTAGGACCACACTCTAAAAAACACTGCTTTAAGGGATCATTCATAGATGCAGTAGCTATTTCGTCTTGAAAATAGATCCTAAGCTGAATCGCATAATATATTATAGTTGTGAATAACTAAATATTTAGAAAAATTACAAGGATGAGATTTGTTCAAATGCATTTATGTCAATTTTCTAGCCTAATATAGGATGATTTATAAATAAATCTGTTAGTGGAGTATATAAATAGTTAAGTCTTCAGGTGCCTGAGTTACTTTATTCCACTGTGGAATAAAGCAGTAGTAGAACAGACTTGTGATTGCTGCGGTTGAAATTCTGAGATAACTGGGCAAGATGAAGTGATCTTCAGAGTCTAGGCATAGGATTTCTAATAACCGAGGAAGGCAATGTACTGTGCTAAATCTTCAGTTTGGCTTTCCATATGCAGAAAGTAATGAAAGGACAATTATCTTTCTGCAACCTGAAATGCATAAGTAAAAGTATAATCTCTCCCAATTTGTTGAGCTTCTAAAAGTACAATGCATCTGTAAGGAATCTGGGGAGGAAAACTGGTCCTGCTCCTTGCTTTGTGGCAGTGATCTTCAGAATATGGTGTCTATTATTGGTTGCCAGCGTTGATAATTGCCAGCTTATGAAGCCAGAGAAAATATAATTGTGATAAGACCTCTGAAGTTTCAATCTTTTCACAAATTGGATTTTGAGGAAGAGAACAAAGAATTACTCTTAATATTTTTATGGGGATGGATTGAGTGTATAACCAGCCAAGTCCAATTCTGTCTAGCCCTAATTCGTGATGCACTTTTACTTCAGAGGCACTGAACTGCTCTCAAAACAAAAGGCAACTGAACTATGTTTTTTCCCCTTGAGGAAGAAGACATTTCCCTTCTCATTCAAGAAGCTTCATCTGTTCTTGCTGGATTGGGGAGGAGAATGGAAGTATTAGTTCTGACATTAGTTCCTTCAGTCCCCCCACCCCCACCCCCAAAAAAAATATCCAGCCAGAACTGATGAAGCTTCTTGGATGAGAAGCGAAACATTGTCTTCCTCGAGAGGAAAAAACAGTTGTCTTTTGAAAAAGCACTTTTGAGATCATGATCTGGATGACTGAGAATCTCCATAGAATCTCAAAACAATACCCACTTTTGGAGTGTAGTCTTCAACATGTTGTTCTGGTATGATGCTCAATCCAATAGAAAGTGCATACTTTCACAGTAAGAAATTTGATCCCTAAAACAAGAATCCACTTGATTAGACATACTTTCTTGACCACACATTTTATTTCTTTTGGACAAACGGCATAATACAAACATGACATACTGTATGAACTCCAAGATCATAGTGAAGAGTTGTGCTTGTTAGAATATCTTTTAAGGTGCTTGTGTCCTTCCTTGATATCCTTGCTTTTATTGAAAATAAAATAATGTGTAAACTAAAATATTTGCTTAAATGCGTGTGGCAAAAACTGATTTAAAATTTGTTTCCCTAGGTCTCTCTGCTATGGAAAAGAAATTGGCTGAGTACAAGTGTAGTACAAATGAAGCAATTCATCTAAAATTAGGTAAAATTTTAAATATAACTCTGATGTAACCCACTATTTCAGTAGTTTTTGCTAAATAAAAATTAATTTTTAAAGACTAGCAAAGTATCAGTAGTCTTTCATTATTATATGTGCAAGCATCTTTATAGAATTACTATAACAGTAGAATAATATGGTTCCTATTTTATTTACTTAATGATTTGTTGCATCTCTTGTTATGTGCTGGACATATTTGAAAGTTATGTGGTTGACTTTGAACAGAGAAGTAGGCATTTTCCATCAGATTCGTGTTAGAACAGGGCTTAAATATCACTTCAGGTCAAAATCATCTTCAGGAAAGTTGGTTAATTAGCAAAGCTAGAAATGTAAGATTTATTTCACAGTCTTCTGCTAACACCCGCTTCATCTTGGAATTGCTAATATTTTATACATTTTCTTAGTCTTGTATAGTTAATTCTCGATTAGCAGTAACTTCATTGCTAAGCCTTGCAATCAGAAGCCAGAGTGAAGGTCACAAATGGTTATCATGCTTATCATATTACTGTGGGGCACAGTGAGCATAATGTGAGCTGGTTGCTCAGTGCTGGAATATATGACTTGTCATAAGTGTCCCTCGTTCAACAATGTATAACTTCAAATGGTTGCTAAACAAGGACTACCTGTATTTAGTTGATTTGTATACACATTTTTGTTTTTTGATATGGAAGTGTGTGAAGAAGTCTTAGGAATTCAAGACTGTTTAAAAGATATATGTCATAAAACATAAAAATACTGTGGAGAAGATAATGGAAAATAGATTCTTTTCCATATCACTACATTCTGAATCATAAATTGTAATAATGTCAATCTGAGAATTTGCATAGGGCCTAATTATTTAATGGACTATATCTGCAGTAGAGTCTCAAACTGATTTTCTGTAACAAAGAAAACCTTGCTGTGACATGTATTTGAAACTGAAGAAAACATGTATCTATTTGGGTTTGAGCAATTCTGTGTTCCCAAAATGCATGGCTAAAGCAACACAGAAGGTTCTTCACTTCCCTCTTCCAAGATGTTTTCTTGGTGGTAACAGAAAGCTGTGCTTGCATTAGCATTTATACCCTGCCAGTAGTGGGATCAGATAAAATATATTGTAATATCCTAATAAGGAATGCTGAGTTTTACAGATTCCTAGATAACCACAATCCCATTGTAATAATGCCAACGGAAGTAGTTGACTCCATCCTATTGGAAGTGGGTTGTGGGTGAGTGAATTTAAGGGTTGATAAATATTAGCCCAGTGGTAGATAAGATTTCAGACACCGTGGTGTAGCCCTCTCTAGATGCAAAGATACTCCTCTTTTTTATACTGCTCTTCCCACTGATACGATTTCTGTAGATTAACCAAATTATGTTGGCAGATCACTGCTAGCTATTCAAATGCAAACAACTGTTTTTCCCATCAGTCCGCTTCCCAGAGGATTTGGAAGATGATAGTACAACATTTCATCCAGAGTTCAGCCATCAAGTTTTTGGGGATGAGTAAGTGAGAAATAAAATATTATATAAATAGTTTTAAGACATTGGATTTTGTACTGATGCCATAAAATTTAACACTAATGTTTATTAAATTGCATGCAGCTCTTTCAATAAATATACCTATATGGGTCTATAATTATTTTTGCCATATAATTAGCTGTGGTTAAGATCTATAGAACACTTGGCATTGCTTCTGTGTTATAAGATACTGCAATTTTCTAAAGTTGTAAGAGGTTTTAATTTCAATTTATTGAAGATTCTAATTACAATAATAATACAAACTAAATTAAGAAAGAAAGGAAAATAAAAAAGAGTAAATGTGAAAAAGAAAGCAAAAGAACACACACACGCAATCATCATCACAAATATTTTTAATAATGTTATTGTTTTTTAAAGAAAACAAGATAAAACTCAAAAATACTTTTGCTTAAAAATATTTTTAAGCAAAAACTTAGAAATAAGTGAAAAAATCAATTAGACAAATATAGTGTATTATCTTGTTACAGTAAACAGTTATAATTCTATATTCACTCACACACACCTACTGCATATACATTTGCAAGTGATAAAACATTAGAATTGGATGGATTCTCTAGAGTGATATAACATTTATATAGCTTTTGGTGGCAAAACTATCAATTGTATCTTGAGGTACTTGATAAGTAATATTATAAGTGCATGTAATCAGGCTTATATTACAGTAATATCTAAATCTTTACCCAGGTAAAGATCATACCTAATGTGCTAATTATCATCCAAAGTCATTTATTAATATTGACAGGAAGATCTTAACAGCAGTAGAGCAACTGTTATTCGTTTTTAAGAATGATCAAGTAGGGTTTATAAAAATCAGGCAAGCAGTAGGTACTATTAGGTAAGTTGTAGATTTAATAGACTTGAATACAAGGAGTCCTCAACTTATGACCAGAATTGAGTCCAAAATTTCTATTGTTAAGTGAGACTTTTGTTAAATGAGTTTTGCCCCATTTTATTACCTTGCCATCATTAAGGGAATCACGGCAGTTGATAAGTTAGTAACATGGTTGTTAAGTGAATCTGGCTTCCCCATTGACTTTGTTTGTCAGAAGGTTGTAAAAGGTGATCACATGACCTTGGACACTGCAGCCATCTTAAATATGAATCAGTTGCCAAGCGACTGGATTTTGATTACATGATCATGGGGTGCCGCAAAGGTCATAACTGTGAAACTCACATTTTTCAGTGCTGTTGTAACTTTGAACAGTCACTAAATGAACTGTTGTAAGTCGAGGACTACCTGGATCAGTAACCAATTTGTAATCTTGTCACTATAGTGAAAAAGCTTTGACCAAATATATCAGTAACACATACTGTGTTAAATAAGTTTGGATTTCCTTTAAAATTCATAAAATTGATCCAGGTACTATATGACTCACTCACATCTAAAGTAAAGATTAATGGTTTGTTTTTTGAAACTTTCCCATTATTTAGAGGAACTAAATAAGAATGTCCATTTTTACTTTTTTGTTATTTGTGTAGAACATTGGCTTGTGTTATTAGACAATTAGGTAAAATTATCCATCAATTTTCCTATGTTTAGTTGAACATATACTGATTTTATTTGCAAATGACGTTCTTCTATTTATTTCTAAACCTTACACTAATATTCCTGTGTTTATGCAAATGTTAAATGCTTTTAGTAAAATAGCAGGATATTCCATCAAGTGATCCAAATCAGAGATGATGTCAATAGGTAGAAATCCATCCATTTAAGAAATATCAGTTCCATATTTGTACCAAAACCATTAAATATTTAGATATGGGTATACAGAAAAATATAACTCCTATATGTAAAGATTTCTTCAGATATGGGTAAGTAGGAATCATTTAAACCTCACTCTTTAGGTGAATAGCCTCAAAATAAATATTTCCATGTTAATTCATATTCTGAGAGGAATTCCTGCTCAAATATGACTTGTTTCACATCTGTCATTTTTTCATAAGCATCTTTTGAACATAGTCTATCCATAAAACAGATATTGTTGCTGACATTGTTGATATTGTGGCTACTAATTTCTGACCCCATTCTTTAAATATCTCCTTTAGTACTTAAAATGTTAAAGCATTTTGTGTCATTTTATAAATGCCTGATCAAAGCCAAAAACAATTTTATACTTTCCCCCCTTTTTGCCTGGAATCTTTAGTCCTCTCTTGTGTCCAATTTCTAAAAATATAAAGTCTCCAAACTCTGTTACAAAATACAGTAGACAAAATAATTTTAGTTCTCATGGAAATCTGCTTATTTTACATAGTTGGTAACAAAATCTTATTCTAAAAGTTTCAATATTCCAAAATTATTTGGCACCTTATTTTGCTTATGCTGTAGTATAACTTTCTTAGATCAAAATCTTCTTTAGCTTTTTGGCATTCATTTTAAGTTCTTAAACTTGTTAATTTTTCTTTTGTTAAAAATGAAGATAGAGTCACCAAGTAGCTTTTCAAACTTGTTCTAAAGTTCTCTAACAGCTTTAAGATGATTAAATAGGCAATTTCTGAAAGTCCAAGCAATCAGAATCAGAATAGAGCTGGAAAGGACCGTGATTTCAAAACAATGTTAGCAAACCTAGTGTCCTTTAAAAGGTTCCATGTAATTTTGAGCTTGATAACATATCTCTTTGTCTCCTGGTACTTGACACTTTGTTCTAGAGTAGGGGTCAAACTCATGGTGTCACGGCGGCATCATGTGATATATCGGCACTTCCCCCCCACCCAAATCAGGTGTGGGCGTGGCCAGCGTGTGATGGATCTGGCCTGCAGGGTCGGGAATTTAACAGCCCTGTTCTAGAGTTTCCTCATGAGGAGCAGCTGTGTAGAGCCCATGTGGGTGATCGCCTGTCCTCGTTCAATCAATTAGAATCAGAATAGAGCTGCAAAGGACCTTGAAGATTTTCTAGTTCAACCCTCTGCTCAAGCAGGAGACCCTATACAATTTGAGACAAGTTGCTGTCCAGTCTCTTCTTAAAAACCTCCAGTGATGAAGTATCTACAACCTCTGGAGGCAAGCTGTTCTACTGGTTAATTATCCTCACTGTTAGGAAGTTTCTCCTTAATTCCAGGTTGCTTTTCTCCTTGATTAGTCCATCCATTGTTTCTTGTCTTACCTTCTGGTGCTTCGGAAAATAAGTTGACCCCCTCTTCTTAATGGTAGCCCCTCAAATACTGGAATACTGCTATCAAGTCACCCATAGTCCTTCTTTTCTCTAGACTGGCCATACCCAATTCCTGAAACAATTCTTCATATGTTTTTGTCACCAGAAAGCCTCAACATCTTTTTTGTAGTGTGGTGACCAAAACTGGTTGCAGTATTCCAGGTGTGGAATTTTCCTAATCTGTACTTGTATCTTTGGTTTTTCGTGCCTCGGTGTAAAACTTTGCTTTTTAACAAAACCATGCTGGCTATTAGTTATAACTTCATTTGTTTTTAGATGTTCACAGATGTGTTTTTTTTCTTCTTCTAATAATGTTGGATTGATATTAGGCTGATTGGTCTGTAGTTTCCTGGGCCTGTTTTTTTTCTTCCCTTTTTTGAAAATGGGAACCACATCAGCTCTTTTTCATTCCTCTGATAGTTTCCACAGGGCTCTGGGATTTTTTTTTTAAGATATGGTACAATAGTTCTGGGATAACATCTGCCAGCTCCTTCAGAACACTGATATAATCCATTAGGACCCAGTGATTTATATTCATCAAGATCAGACAGATGTTCTCTTATCATTTTCTTGCTTATTTTAATTTAATTTCTAGTCTGCTTTTTACAGTTATGTTTTGGGTAGGTTGGGCTATACTAGTATCTTTTTGCGTGAAGACTGATACAAAGAATGAGTTAAGCTGCTCTGCTTTCTCTCTTCTGCCCTTTACTTCCTTGCCATCTTCTCTTTAGTGGACCTACTGTTTCTTTGACTTTTTTCTTGTTATTTATATGTTGCAAGAAACTTTTTTTTATTGTCTTTGACTTTTGTTGCAAGTCTTTGTTCATTCTGAGCCTTTGCTTTCCTGATTTCATCTTTGCAGATTCTGGCTATCAGCGGATATTCTGCCTTAGTAATGTCTCCTTCTTTCCATTTTTTTGTACTTATCCTTTGTGTCTTTCAGTTGATCAGAGAGATCTTTGTGCACATTACAGTGCTTTTGGAAGTCCCTTAAAGTTTAGAAGTAGTTTTGTCATGTGAAACAATAGGCTGCTATTTTAGAAATATGAACCTTAATGTCTTTTGGGCTTGTGGTTCTTTAGATCCAGATAAAGCTAGAGCTTAATTGTTATGAATGTCATAGCACTCACTTTTTCTTATTGTTTTAACCTATAGACCAACATAATCTATTTCACTCCAGAAAGTTAACAGCATTAACAAAAAATCCTCAATGTAGTTTAAGCATCTATGGTAAACAGGAACACAATTACTTTAAATTAAGTTTAAAATCAAAATAAAACTGAGCAGCCACCAACATTAGCAAATCAATAAGTCTACTCACTCTCTCTCTCTCTCTCTCTCTCTCTCTCTCTCTCTCTCTCTCTCTGTGTGTGTGTGTGTGTGTGTGAAGAGATATAAATCATACCAGGAGATGTCAGCATTTTTATGCAGTATTGGGAACTACTGAATTTGTGGATGAATTAAGTAGAATCCAAACAAGACTGGGTAATTTTTGTCTATCACATGGTCTGACATCTCCAGTATCATTGTCCAGGAAGATACAAGTTTGCAAATTGATTCTGTTGGATGAGAGTTTCACCTAACCTCAGCAGGTGCATCAGTTGCTATCTTACCTAAATGTAAGGACCTTGCAATACGACTTACACCCTCATTTGCATTTGCCTGAATTTATACAATGTGCTATATATCTTTTCCTGTGAACACCACCCAGAAACCTCAGAATGCATTACCTGACTACTAGCCAGCCTGTGACAATATAAGCAAATTACAACCGTGCTCTAGGGGCTGTGCACTGGCTTTCTGTTGGCTTTAAAGTGCTATTTTTGACCTTTAAAATCCCGGGCTTGGTTCTGAGGTATCTCCTCCTACAACTTTTGTAAAATGCTTAACCTGAGTCACTTGGAATATTTGACTCTGATTGCTGCCATCCATTTATTTATAAGATTTTTTAAAAAAATATTTTTGAACTTGTTTTTTATATGTTATATGTGTATTTCATTGATTTTTATACTATAATATTACAGCACAATTATTAACATGGTTTGTTGCTAATGCCTGATACATTAAGGAATCTTATAAAATAATATTAAAATATTTTTTTCTGGGTACAAATGAATTATAATCTCAATGAGAAATAATAATTTTGTGATTGTGTTGGCACATCTCAGCAATGATTTGCTCTGTGTTTGAAGCTGAATTGTTTTAGGTGAATAAATCACAATTTGAAACAATTATTTGTCAATTGCATCTCTTGACTCAGAATGATATATAAATATTAATGGTTTTCGTGTTATTTTTGGTTCATTTTTATACACTACTAAATACAGCAATAAATTCCTAGAGGTACAAAGTAGGAACAACTAAAATGGAAATATTGAAATCAGAAGCCAAACATCTCAATTTCTCATCTATAAGATTGTCTTGCTCAAGAAACTATAATTAATTAAAACAAATTGTGGATTACTGTGATGTATGATAATTGTTTTAGGAATTTACTAATTTTCAACTGTAGAAGAACATTTCAGAAATTCAATTTGTGTTTCTCCTACAGTGAAGTTGCCTTTGGTTACAAGGGACTGAAGGTTCTTTTGTATTACATCGCTGGTAACTTGTCAACGCTGTTTCGCATTGATTATACATCAAAAGTTAATGAGAACTTCGAGTGTGTGGAGGTAAAATCAAATATTCAGTTGTCATCTAAACTTGTTAAGGTTGCTTCTCTTCAGCTTTTTATGATCACATGTTTATTTTTAAACTCCTTCACTATCACAATCCATATATCTTTTATTATTGTACTGGGAATAATGTTTAATGAGTATTATAAACAAGCTTTGTAGAAATGTGTCATCCTTTGTTGGAAAGTCTGCTTTGTACAAGTAAATTGCATACGCATCAGAAGTCTTAATGTTATTTCATGCTTCAAGTATATTTGCCTGAAGAAATTTTCACTTATATGTTTGTATTTATTTGTATCTGTTAGTTTGAAATAGAACTGATGTAAAACTATAATTTGTCTGACCGCATGGGCCACTTCAGAATTACCACATGGCAGCTCTAAACATAAGAAGTGCTATTTTACATTGTTGGTCATTTTTGAGTATTCTGAGAATGTGATGATGCTAGGTAATAGGTTTACTCTAAGGTATGCAGCTACATCTCTCTTTTAATTAGGACCAAAACATTGTTTCTTTTCGGCATTTGATATTGATAACCTTAATCATCAGGACTAAAGTAGACTGTTGGGCTCAAGAATTCAAAAAGTTTCCCAGGAATCTTTTTATTATGTGTTGCTGCTCTTTTTTACTTTGAATAATAAAACTAGGAAGATGGGCAGAGTGCCCGTGGAATGTTTTCCATATTGCAGAGTAATTTAGATATATTTCAGTTTGTATTTTGACAATTTTTGAGATTGGAAATTAAGGTATAGAATATAGATTGTTCATTAGGCTAACAATATGTGAAAAAAATCCGGACCCATAAGTATTATTGCTTTATTTTTAATGTGGCAGAGGGGAGTTGTAAAATTATTTTAATAAAACATTACCTCAGTGTTTACATTGAATCTGCTTTTACTTGTTCACAATTTTGGCAACTTGGACCAATTGTTTCAGTTGATGGAAGAAAATGGTAGACTGTTAACCAGTGCACAAGACCAGAAACAGTCTGAGTTTGAACAATGGCTTATTTTATGGCATTTTACCTGTATCAATAGTTGGCTAAGATACCTTGTAAGCAGAAAGATGTGATTTAAATCATAAAAGAGCTGTCTTTTTTCATTCAGTGCTGACTTCCATGAGCCTAATAGGATTTTTAACATGTAGAATAAAAATGTACTACAAAGTAATGCTACATTAAAAATAGCTTGGTTTTCATCTCTTAGCCTTCTGTTTTTATTATTATTATAGTCTCTAAGAGTTACTTCGGCAATTCTAGAACAGCTAAATAAAGGCAGGCTTGTATCTTTATACACTTAGATTTCATTTAGAAAAATGTCTTTTAGCCTTGTCTCTACCGCTTTAATAAGTTGCATAAGATGAAAGCAAATTCGTAGAACCTTATACATTAATTACACAACAGCATCTTATAAATATAAAGCTGATATATATGAATGTTAATAGCATCAAGGCATTAAGAATGAAGTATGCAAGGGCTGAACTCCATCCATACTCTACGTCCCAAAATATAGCTAATAGTGAAGTATTATTCCTTTGCAGGTGCATTGCTTCTACTTAGGGGGATAATAGTTGAAAGGACTGCCATTAGCAGTGTGTTGTATTAGCCTTTTGTAGTGTATTTTGTCCTAAGCATCTTAATTTCCCAGTTTTGAATGCTAAGTAGCAAAGGTCTTGGTTTAGAATTAATACTCATCATGCATGTAAACGGTGTGAAAGAGCTGCTTAGTAAGTTAACACAAAGTGTTCTTGTGTCAATCCTTATGGAAATAGATACAATACAAACATTACAGCTGAACTCATGACAAACTCCATTAAGTAAAAACCTGGGCTCCTTGTTCAGAGCATGGTTGAATAGAATGTAAGCTCATTTTGTTGAATGTAATGTCAGGCTTTTAGGAGTTGTACTGAGGGGGGAGGGTTTTGTTAAGTTGAGACCAATTCATTAAGTTTTATTGCCTGGTGAAAAGCAGCAATACATTATTGTTAAACTTCATCAGATATTCATGGCTAAAGAGAAGTAGTAAATGTATTCAATCAAGTGGCCGTTTGGGGGCCTGAAAAGGATTATGATGTCTGGTCAGCTGATAGTCTATCACATTTACTTTGACTATTTAATAAGGCTACTCTTAATTCAGTTTTGCTTATAAAATGTGTATGGTTTTCCTCATCCTTTGGTTAAATTAGATTTAAAAATAAGTTCTCTAGATATAGTGGTTTGCAGTCTTTATTAAATTGCTAAAGTAATTTGAGGTAGGACAGTATTTTCTGGGATTTCTTGACATTTGCATGATTGGATTTTTCTTGGATTCTAGTTGATATATGAGGATGGGAAAAGTGTTGATCTTTAAACTGGGGCTAGCAAGCCCTAGTTTGTGTCAGTTGCTTTTGCTCTTTGCTCCTAGGGTATAAGAATGGATTGAATATGCACTGCTCAGAAATAGCAAATGTATGGAGAGTATGTTTTTTTTAATTTTCTTTTTGTTACTGGATAGTTACATAGTTGTATTTTATCAGAGGTTTTCAATTAGCTATAAATAAAACACCAGTGCTATTTTCACAATTTTTATTTCCCAATACTATATGGAAAAACATTATTATTGATGCTCCAGAGCAAACTCGTGTATCAGTGTCGTCATGTGATGTATCAGGACTTTTTCCCCCTTTGCTAAACCAGGTGGGGGCAGAGTCAGCACATGACGCATCTGGCCACAGGCAACGAGTTTGACATCCTTGCTCAAGAGCAAGCGTGGATAAAATCAGTTATAGCATGGTTTCCTGCCATTTTCAGGAAAGACAGATATAAAAACTGTAGTGTAAACTAATACATTTTATGTTTTGTTTTTTTTAAAAAAAACACCTTTGAAAGCCCAGGAAGAAACCTGAAATCTAGTGCTGCCCAAGTGTACAACATAGTCCCATCCACATGCCATTTTTCTTCCCACTGCTGCACTCAATTTCCCAAATATTGATCATGCTATTGTAAATAATCAGTATATTATTAAGAATATACAGGTAGTCCTATACTTACAACAGTTCATTTAGTGACCATTCAAAGTTACCTCGGCACTGAAAAAAGTGACTTATGACCCTTATAACTGCCGTAGCATCCTCATTGTCACGTGATCAAAATTCTGATGCTTGGCATCTGGTTCATATTTAAGACAGTTGCAGTGTCTTGGGGTCACGTGATCAGCTTTTGCAGTCGTCTGATAAAGGCAATGGGAAAGCCAGAGTCACTTAACAACCTTGTTACTAACTTAACAACTGCAGTGATTCACTTAACAACTATGGCAAGAAAGTTCGTAAAATGAGGCAAAAATCACTTAACAAAATGTCTCACTTAGCAACATAAATTTTGGGCTCAAAATGTCGAGGACTACCTGTATTGGGACTATGTGTTTTTTCTTAAAATAAAAATGCATATGGATTCTTCAAAATCAAGAATTTTTTTTTAAAAAAAACCCTTTTCTATAATTTCTGTTTTCTAGGGTTTGAGGTTTTTTATTATGACTTTGATTTATAGGTACTCCTTGACTTACAACCATAATAGACCCCGAAATTTAGGTCATAAGTTGTTAAGACAATTAACTGAGATACCCACATGACTGCCTTGCTCAATGACAGCAATCCTGGCTGTCACCATTGCAGTTGTTAAGCAGACCCAGTGAAAAAGCGGCAGCTCTCATTCTTACATAAAGAGGAACTGCAGATTTGGGCTGGAGAAAGAAAAAGCTTACATCTTTGTGGTCCAAGCTTCTTTTCTCCAGCCCAGCAGTTCAGTTCCCTTTCCCTTAGTGGGCAGAAGGGAACTTTGCCCATATTCCAAGCAGAATTTTGTCACAAAGCCTTTGCAGTATTGCCTGCCCCCACAAAGGAGAGGGAATTGACTCATTTCTGAGGATTGGGTACAAACACTGTGCTGCAAACCCTCCATGCCAGAATTCTGTTTGGATTTCAGCCTAGGCTTTTTCAGCCAGTCTCCCTAAAAGCAAAACTGCTTGGTGAAAAGACTCCACCCTATGTCAGGTGAAATCAATTCCCACAGGCAGCACTGTGACACTCAAAAGAGGCTGGGTGACAAAGTTCCTTAGTGAGGAGCCTTCTTCACGCAGTGTCCTTGATAGCAAAAAGAAAGTTTGGCAAAAAGGCTCCAGCACAGGATGAAACCAATCTGTCAGACCCTGCTATTGCTCTCAAGGAGGCTGGGTAAAAAAGCCCTCCTGAAATCCAAGACTTTTTCGGCCATCTCTAGGCAGGCAGCAGCAGCAGCTTGCAATCTTCCCTGCTGGCTTCCCCACTGACTTTCTGGGGAAGCCAGTAGGGAAAATTTCACATGGTGATTTCAGGTGCTTGGCAATCTGTCTTAAGTACAAACAAGTTGCCAAGTGCCCAGATTGCAATCATGTGACCACAAAGGTGCTGCAATGGCCATAAATTTGGGCTTGGGTTGTAAGACTGTTCAACTCTATCATAATTTTGAATGATCACTGAACAAATGGTGCTTAAGCCAAATATTGTCAAGCCTCAGCATTTTCTTTTATGACCTAGCTGACACCTATTTCTGTGAATTTCCTCAAAGGATTTTGAGGAAATCATTTTATCTATTTTATTACAAACCTCTGTCCTCCGACAAACAAAAAGCATAATAGCTATGGTAAATGTTTTACTAAACTAAATGTTTTGCTTAAGTATCCATTATTGAGCATCAGTGATGATATAATGACTGGGACTTTTTTGTTTCACGTTTTTGAAAGTGGAACTAAGAGTTTCCCTTAGTGAAACCTCTAAAGTAAGAAAAATACAGCAACTTTCTGATGAATTTTAAAAGGATCCCTTCACGGGGTAGATATGAAAAATATTACTTTACATTTAACTTTCCAGTAACAGCTTACATTCCCATTGCTTTTCCTTCTTTATTTTCAGGCGGATGATGTGGAAAGTAAAATTAGAGAAATTATTCCCCCAGGTTTTACCAGAAGTATAGATGACTTGGTATCTCTGCTGGAAAAAGAAGTTAACTTTAAACCGTTTGGGATATTACTGCATACATATTCTTTGCATAATGAAGAAGCAGGTGAAGACATAACATATCAAATATACAAGGTAAAAAAAAATGATTTGCCCAAAGTGACAAATTTTCATGATAACATTTAAATGGCATTAAAGTTAATTGTTCGCGATATATGTAAAAAAAAACTTATTGGGGGGTCATATCACTTTTTGTGCCTGCCAAAGAATCTGAATGTACCCTTCTAAGAGCTCTTTTCACATCTGTGAAAAGTTTCACCTGACTTTTTCTAGCTTTTTCCCTAGGCTGACATGACATGCCCAGGCTTTCGAGAGTATCATGAAAGGCTTCAGACCTTCTTGATGTGGTTTATTGAAACAGCGAGCTTTATTGACGTGGATGATGAAAGATGGAACTACTTTCTAGTGTAGGTACAATTCTAAAGCAATAGTGGACCTTATTACTTCCATAAAGGCTGCATTTTAATTGTGGCTGGCCAATTATTGGGACAGTATAATGATATTTTTCTCAGGACAGGAAAAAACTATTGTTTATCAAGCTGGAGTTTGCATCCATTATGTTTCGCAAGACCTTGAGAATAGAGCCAAATTAAATACTGTTGTCCACTGGAGCTCTGAATGTAGGGCTTAAACAGTAAAATGAGCTTTGCCTGTGTTTTCTTTTACTTGCCACCTATTCATCGTTATAATAGGCAAGTGTGGTGAAGTGCTGTAAAGAGGTCTGATTTATCCAAGTTGCTGCACACCAATTAAGTGAATTGTACATTCAGAACATAGCAGGTGTACCCATTGGGCGCGCACGGAGTAGCTTGCTGACACTGAAAATTCAGTCACAGAATAGAAAAGAAAATGGACACTGCATGGGAGCGCGACTGTAATTGACCTGCTTGGCTTTCTGTTTTATCTGCAGATTTGAGAAGTATAATAAGGATGGAGCGACACTCTCTGCGACTGTAGGCTATATGACAGTCTATAATTACTATGTGTACCCAGACAAAACCCGGCCACGTGTAAGGTAATTGGAAGCATAACACGTGCCTTGCCTTTTATTTCAGAAGAGAGGACTGTTGAAATTCCCAATAATGGTTGATAATGGTTTTAATTTTGGTTTTAATTTGGAAGGTGGGATATATTTTTTATTGAAGATTTTGGTTGGCTTTGCATTTTTTAAAATGTTGTTCTTTGCATCTAAAATGGGAAAGAATCTCAGAATTACATGTATACGAACTCCTTTATATAGCAAATCATTATAAATAATGATGTACAGCTTTCAGTTAACTTTTTTCCCCTTTGTCCTGTAGCCAAATGCTGATATTGCCTCCGTTCCAAGGAGAAGGCCATGGAGCCCGGCTATTAGAAACTGTCCATAGATACTACATGACATCTCCTACAGTGCTTGATATAACAGGTATGTGAAATGAATCTTCATTGAAGCTATTAGTTTTTTAAATTCATTTGTCAAAATGAAGTGAACTTTCAAAGTTTTCCAGAGGAAGGGAGGGAGTGGTCACGTGTGGGTATTCTCAAAGCCTGATTGGTCCAAAGACTGAGAGCAAACTCTTAAATACTGGTGCCTTCCAATCCTAACACAGTTTCCTCTCAGTCTTTCTTGGTCCAAGAACTGTAGAGAATATTCCTGGTAGGATTTCTGTTTATTTCAATCTGGTCTCTCATTTGGTTTAATTGGGCATTTTAAAAGTTTTTCCTAAATTCTAAATTGTGCAGCTGCGGCCACAAGGAACAGTTCTCTGCCTCGGGTGATTGGGGAGGGCCCTGTGGGGCATTGGCATTTTGCCTCCCCCCCCCCCGCGGGCCCGGAGCCTCAGCCCTATCCCCGGGATTGCGGGGGTGCCAGCTCCAGGATTCAGCTGCGGAAGGGGCAGCTCTCCTTTAAGGGAACGGTGGTGAAAGCAGCTTCGACGCCATGTGGAGCGCACGAGCTGCCAATTGATCTGGGCAGCTGCCACTTTGACTGGTTCCTGCTTGACTTTGTGGGGGACGAGTGGGGGTGAGGAGTGCGTGCCTGGGTGCCGCGTGGCTCTCCTTGACATCGTTTTGAGCAGCATCGGCTCCTGGAAGCCCGGCTGAGCCGCTCAGGTTGCCTGCGACTCCTCGCCCACGCACAGAGCTCCAGCGGCCATTTTGGCTGCCGCCACGTGCGGGGGGCTTCTGATTCTTCCTGCGACAATCGTGAGGCCTGGCCAGGGGGTGTTTTTGGCCTAGTTCCTCCACAGTCTAACAGGCCCTGGTCCCAGCGGGGCCTACAGAGGCCTGTGTTTCCTGCTTCCTTTGTCAGACACGTGAGTAGGCTATGGACGAGGGCGCAGAGATTTCCCAGGGCCAGGTGGTGGGCCCGATCAGGGGTGGTGAAGACCTGGAACAGGGGGTGGGGCAAGGGGTTCCCCCCCGGGTTCTTTGGCTGCCCAGTGCCCATCTAGATCCTCCACCAGGGAGGAGGCCAGGTGGCACAGAGCAATTGAAAAGATGTTTGCCAGGGCAGAGAGGCAGGCTAAGTCAGCCGAGCCCTCATCCCGAGAGAGGTCCCGTTCTCCTCTCGGGCCTATTTCTAGGGGGTTTAGCCCTTCTCCCTCGGTCTCTCCCGACAGGCCGCATGTCTTTTCCAGGAGGAGGGGATCCCCCTCTCCCTCTCCCTCAGGTGATCCTTTGGAGGGTACGTCTAGGGGACCCTGCACTTCGCGCAGGTTGGCTCCTCAGGGGCCTAGTTCTGCTTATGGCGATAAGAGGATTTGGATCACCTCCCTGAAGGTCTTAAAAGACTTATTTCTGCAGCCATTTCGCGTGGCATTGCCCAGCGGGATAAGTGTTCTTTTTCTTCCAGGCATGGGGGTCTGGGCCGGACCCAGTATCGTGCTTCCTCTCCTTCCATGGTTAGCGAAGCCTCGGTCATGGAAGAGGAAAATCTCCAGGACATGGGTTTCTTGGAGGAGGATGCGACCCCCTCAGATGAGCTGCCTTCTTTGGGCCTCTTTGTCCCAGCCATGTTTAAGATTCTCTTGGGCAAGGCAAGGAAAACCACCAAGATGGGGACTGGGGACCCTTCGATGCCTCCACCTAGGGATCCTGACATGGCCATGTTTTCTGCCACGGCCATGAACAAGGAGGAGATTCCGGCTCGTCCCTTGTTTATGGAGGTCCTGACCAACCAGTGGGCGCGTCCCTCCAATTTCTCGACTCCTGGGAGTAATGACCGCCGGCACTATAATGTGGAGCAGACCTTTGCTCGGGCCACTCAGTTGCCGGCCATTGACACTCCGGTAGCTGCCCTGGTCTCCTCCTCTCCGGTGGTATCGGTTGATGCGGCAGATAAATTGAAGCCGGAGGATAAGCGCGCTGAACTTACCTGGAGGAAGAATTTTAATGCCACTGCATAGGCTATCAAGTCCACGGCCTCGGCCTCCTATTTCTACCGGGCCGCGGTCATGTGGCTTAAGCAGCTCCAGGAACACATTCCCATCCAGGATAAGCGGCTCCACCAGGATTTAATCAAGATCATGGCGTCTCCCAGTTTTCTGCTGATGCGACCCTGGACACGGTCAAGTTTGCGTTCAGTGCTTTGGCCACTTCTGTCACGTCTGGCAGGCTCTTATGGCTGCATCACTGGCATATGGATAACAAGGCCAAGTGGAATTTGGCGGCCGCTCCGTTCAAGGGGCCTAATCTTTTTGGGGAGGCTCTCGACCCCATTCTGGTCGAGAAGGAGGACAAAAAGAAACTTCTGCCATCTAACGCTAAGAAGCCCGAGGCTAGCTCTCATCCTTACTGTAGGCAGCAGTATAGGGCTACAGATTACGACTATAACCAGTGTTTTTTTTCCTTGCACTCTGACAGGCAGTTTCCCAGGTTGTCCTTTCAGGACAGAAACCGTTTCCAGCACCAGTCCAGGCAGCCCTTTCGTGGAGGAGGCAGCCGTCCCTACCGCAGGGGGAAGTGACTCGAACCCGAGTTATCCCATCGGCGGCTGCCTTTCCCTCTATGCGGATCAATGGGACGAGATCACGTCGGACACTTGGGTCCGAGCCACGGTTCGTCACGGTCTCAGGTTAGAATTTCTCTCCACCCCGCCGAATCTTCAGGTCATTCCCTCCGTCCCGGAGTCTGGAGTGCCGCCACCTGATGGAACAGGCTATCGCCCACCTGCTCAACATTCAGGGGGTGGAGGCGGTTCCTCTAGAGGAACGGGGCCTGGGCCACTACTCCAACCTGTTCGTGGTTCTGAAGAGCTCGGGGGGCTGGAGGGCGATTCTGGACCTCAAGCACCTGAACTGTTTCCTGGTGTACAGGCGATTCAAAATGTCCTCCCTCAAGTCTATCCTTCAGGGCATAAGGAAAGGGGACTTCTTGGCTTCCGTGGACCTCACGGAGGCCTATCTTCACATCCCTATCCTGCCCAGTCATCGCAGGTTCCTGAGGTTCTCGCATGGGGAACTTCACTACCAATACAGAGCTCTTCCCTTTGGGCTGGCCTCGGCCCCCCGGACCTTCACGAAGATTCTGGGGGCCCTGGTGGCTCATCTACGCTCCATCCCGGTACGGCTTCAATGTTATTTAGACGATGTCCTAGTTCAGGCGGGGGTCTCTTCCTGAGGCCATTTTGGACCTTCAGCTCACCATCCGGAGTCTTCAGAGCCTAGGTTTTTTGGTGAACTTCCCCAAGAGCCACCTTTCCACCTCCACGCACATTCTTCACCTGGGGACGGTCATAGACTCTGTGTCGGGGGTGGTGCGTCTGTCCCAGGAGCGCCAGGGCAGCCTATGTCAACTGGCAGAAAGCGTTCGCGGAAGTTGGTTAGTTTCGATCCTCACTCTGTCGCAGTTATTGGGCAAGATGGTCTCTTGCATCGGGATTGTCCGGTGGGCCAGACTTCACCTTCGGCCTCTTCAGTGGGAGCTCATCCCCTTTCAAAGGGGGCAACTGAGCAATTCGCTTCGGACTCTCCGCCTCCAGGTGGGGGTCCAGGCCTCGCTGGGGTGGTGGCTTTCCCTGGCCATTCAGCCGGGCTGCTGCTTCTGGGAGCCGGACAGGGTGACCGTCACCACGGATGCAAGTCTGTTCGGATGGGGGGCCCTGGTGGGTTCCTGGATGGCTCAGGGCAGGTGGACGACCTCGGATCTCCGCCACAACATAAATTGGTTGGAGCTGAAGGCGGCCCGCCTGGCTCTGCGACACTTTCAGGCCTTGGTGGAGGGGCGTCATGTGCTCCTCCTGATGGACAATGTGGCCACCAAGGCCCACATCAGTCGTCAAGGGGGACCCACTCTTGGGCTCTCTGGCTAGAGGCTTTGAGGCTGGGCGCCTGGGCGGAAAGGCACCTGTTGTCGTTGGTGTTGGAGCACATCTCTGGGCTCTCCAACGTCCAGGCGTATTGGCTGAGTCGGGCGACTCTGGACAACGGCGAGTAGCAACTCCATCGTTGTTTCGGGTGATCTGCCACAGGTTCGGCACTCCTCTGGTGGATCTGTTCGCCTCACCCGCGAACTCACAACTGCCCCGGTTTTTCACCCGTTTCCAGTCCAGGTCTGCGGAGGGCACAAATGCCCTCAGGAGCAGGTGGCCCTCGGGCCTTCTGTATGCATTTCCTCTCATCCCTCTCGTTCCGGGGACCATCAGGAAGGTGGTGGCGGAGAAAGCCCTGGTCATTGTGGTGGCCCATTATTGGCCCAGGAGGCCTTGGTTCGCAGACCTCCCCTCCGTGGAGGATTCCATGGGAGGAGATGGTCTTGCAGCAGGGGGTCCTGCTTCACCTGGAGCCCCAGTGGCCCCATCTGACCACCTGGCTCTTAAACGGCAGCTACTGAGGGGGGCTAACCTGTCCTCCGGGGTCATTCGTACAATCTAGGCGTCTCGGCATCCATCAACGACCCGCATCTACAATTCCACCTGGGCGGCCTTTGTCCGGTGGTGTTCTCCTCTTGGCATCTCTCCCGACAAAGCCACTATTCCCAACGTCTTGGATTTCCTGCAGAAGGGCCTTGACAACGGGCTTTCGCAGAATACGTTGCGCCGCCAGGTGGCAACTTTCTCTTCGGTCCTGGGGTGTGTGGGGTGTTCTTCCCTCTCCCATGTTCCCCTGATCAAGTGTTTTCTTAAGGGGGGCGGCTAATCTCAGGCCTCCCCCCGTCCACAGGTTCCCCACGTGGGATCTTCCCCTGGTTCTTAGGGGTTGGATGGGGGCCCCGTTCGAACCTCTCCGGTCTGTTCATTTACGGTTCTTGTCTCTGAAAGTTGCTTTCCTGATGGCAGTTATGACGTATTTCGGAACTGGGAGCCCTGTCTTCCAGGGATGACCTTTGCCATTTTCACCAGGACAGGGTGGTGCTTCACCTTGATCCTACCT